AAAAACCTTTTTCCTCAACAAGAAATGTCAGACAGCGTCCATCTGATCCAGTAGTGCTAACACTGTGGATCCACCACTATCATCAGTCTGGAAGCTGCAGACCTGCTGTAAATGTGGGTCAGCATTAACAACCAGGAACTCAAAGTGCAGCTTTCTCCCAGTGTGTCAATGCTTTTTACTTAATGGCTGCCAAATACACATTAGATTTAGAGGCTATGCCACTACATGGCATATTTACTCAGGCAATAACAAAGATTGTAATAATTTTATAATCATTTCCTAAATTTAATTCAAGTAAATGAAAAATAATAGTTCTGTATATATTAAACCCTCCTAAGCCCAAGAACGCCTCTGGCCTCGGAGGCATGTGCCCACTTTTCAAGTGTGTCCACGCAGCAGCTTCATATCTGTTGTTTTTGTCTTGTTCTGCTGCCCCCAAGTGGCCAAACCAGGTACTTACACTGAGAGTTCATTTCCAAATGACTGGTCACAGGTAGTGAAGACAGCTGAGTGACATTCTGGCATCATTGTATTATTTGAACGCGACAGCATTACAAGATGATTCATTTCAGGTTGTTTTGTTTATTTTGCTTTTGTTATTTTTCGCCTTTTTTGAAAGATATTCTGCCGTTTTGGAAGCCGGTGTTGTGCCAGAAACTGATAAGTGGTTTTGGGTATTTGCCAAAAAGTGAAAGATTTTATTTGAATTTTAAAGATGAAATAAGATTAAGATCAGATAAATGACTAGTTGGCCTTTAAAATGTGAAACATCTGTCAAATGTGTCTCTCATGAATGATATCAAGTCATCTTCAGCCACAAACAACATTCCTGTCACAAGGTAGAAGCTGCAACCAGTTTTTTGGTAGTGACTTTCATATATCCCATTTTTATCCACTTAAAAAGATTATTGGCATTAAAATTTTAAGTTTTTAAGAGAGATTTAGCCAAGAGGGCAGGAGAAATGGAACAAAAATAACATAATAGTTCTATAAAATGTTTACGTGACCAAAAAAGTTTGGATTGGTTATAATTTAGGTAAAATGTTAAAAATATTAGAGAGACATCTCTTTATTTTTATATATAACCCCTTTGTAAATCCTGTTGACTACAGTCTATTTACCAATTCCACATAAAAAAAAAAAACCCACATATAAACATCAGAAATCACTTTTTGGCACAGCGACAACTTATTACCCCAGGAGGTGGATTTGAAGTATCTCAGGCTTGTTCACAAGTGAGCTCAGAGTGGAGGGTGAGACTGGCAGACGATTCCTGACTGAAGATGGAAACAAACAAAAAAATCTGTTTGTTTTTTATCTTCTGTGATATCTGAAGTTGTTAAAAACAGACAGCTGTCTTTGTCCAAGGAGCACGAGACTTGAGCGTGGATTTGTTTTGAATGAGGGGGAAATGTTGTCAGAACGAGTGTTTAACTGGAACTGCAGTTGGGTCCATGCAGATTTGAACACTGACACAAGTTTT